AGTTACTTTAAGGTTTGGATGGATGAAACGTGAAGCTTCACTTTGGGCTCGATCACTTCTCACCAGGGTCAAACTGACGATAACAATTTGCTTCTAAATTTTGTAAAAACTGTAAAAGAATAAAACATTATTTGGTTTTTGTTGTCCATGCTGCCGCTCTGGTTTCTTTCTTTTTCTGAATGATGGCGTCTCGTGCGCCTGTTTTCAGCTGAGCACATCATGTGCATGACATGAAGATAAAAATCAGTCAGTGTTTGGTGAACACATTGTAACCCCCCCCCCCTCATTCTGATTGGGTAACAGGGAAGCGAGGTCGTAGGAACAGTGTGGGATCATTGGACAGTACCATTGAAGTAAGTGCGGCAGGGGGCGGGGCTGAAAGCATGCGCGATGTCACACACGCCGCTTACTGCATGTTTGTGTTTGTGAAAACGTGACGTGTCATCAATCATACACGTGTTCGTCCAGGCTGCATGTCACCAAACACGCCACGATGTGTGTTTCTCTTGTTCTTGTACATGTTCACACGTTTGTTCTTAGTGACACAAGTTCAATCAGCCAATGTAAACACATTTCACCTTCACTGGGTAGTTGAGTGTTGATTTCAACCGTAAACTGTAAATGAAGACTTTTGGGAAACCCAATAGTGAAGCCAGAACATCTTGACTGCCCCCTGGTGGCTGGCTTCACCTCACGATCACTACTGCACAGAACTGACTCCACATGACGTCATCACCACAAGATGGCAGCATTCGAATCGAAAATATTTTGGTTTCATTTCTGTATAATTGGAGGAAGTGTCGTCCATCTTTGCTCACAGTTTATGATACAAACAGAAAAAGAATCAACGTTCCAGATGTTCAGTACAGTGTGCATCTGAACCTCCGGACCACCAGGACGTCCGCAGATGTTTTCCTGTGTTGTCTTTTGTCTGAACTTCATCCATTCTTCTTCATCTGTGTCGGCAGTTTAACTCTTTTTACACTTTCACAGAAAAGTGGACGTTTTATTATCAAAAAATCTTCATTGATTTCTGAAGTTGTGTGACAGCAACAGTTTCAGGTTCCGTATTTAATTCTTACGTCTAATTCTTCTCATGTTCTTTTCTCCCTCCTCCGTCTCTCAGGGTTCCATTATTAGCAGCCCTCGGCCGCACCAGCAGCGCCCCCTGCCTACTGGAGGTCTGTCTTACTGCCCCATGATGGTCCCTTCTTCTCCAGCAGCCTACCGGCCACACCGCCCTACTCAGAGCCCCGGTACAGGGGTGGGGGGTGGGCCGGGGCTCTGTCACAACCAGGGAGGGGTCACCACCTCCCCACTCGTGAGCGGGGGAGGGGCTGGGGTCGGAGGAGGGATGGCGGGTGGGGTAGGCCCGACTGGCAGCGGCCTGCTGGGGAATTTCTTCGGCAGCCGCAGAGGCAAGGTTCCTGGTCCCCTGACGATGATGTCACCAACTCCTCAGGGTCCTCCGAGTCCCCTGATGATATCATCACCCCCCCACTACCCCGCCCCCGCGCCTCCCATCGTCCACCCATCCTCCCCTTCCCCAGGCCCCTCCCCATCGCCCAACCTCGGTCCATCGGACTCGGGAGGAGTTGGAGGGGGAGGAGGTATGGGAGGGGGACCGTCCAAGCTCCAGGCTTTGCACGCCCAGTATTGCCACGGCAACAGTGGAGGAGGAGGAGTCAGTGTTACTGGGCACCAGCAGCAGCAGACGCCACCCCCACCCTACCACCATCATCACCGCTACCACATGCAGAGCGTTCCACAGCACCACCCTCTTTCGCACAGGTTCTCCGCACCCAGGCGTCAGGGCCCGTCCGGCTGCGTTCCCTCTCATACCCAGCAGCATCAGAGGATGCAACATGGCCCCGCCCAGCACCCACGCTACAACATGGCCTCAGGCTTCACCACGCCCCCTCCACTGTCCCCACACTCCCCCTTAACCCCTACTACCCCACACGGACTCTACCACTCGCACCCCGCGGCGGGACGACCGGGTGGAGGTGCCAAACTCCCGCTAACCATCTCGCACTCTCAGCCCCACCCACACGCTCACACACACTCTCACAACCACGCCGCGCATGCACACTCCCCCCTCAGCCCTTCCCCCTCCGTCTCCCCCTCCACCCACTTCATCTTCTCTCCCCCACCACCCCAGACACCCTCGGCACGTCTCGTCAGCCAGACACCTTCTCAGCCCTACGCTCCTCAGTATCCGCCCCTCTCCTCCATCCCGCCTCCCCCTCCACACTCCCCCCTACCTCCACCTTCAACCGCACCACTCTCCCCGCACCCAGGGGTGGGGGGAGGGCAAGGGGGGGGGCCCAAATCGAAACCCGTAAGCCGGATCAGCACGGTTGTCTGAGAAGGCAGAAGCCAAGGACGGTGGTCTGCCACCCTGCTGTGAGCCACCGGGGGGCAGTACTGAGAAAGAGCAGGAGAGGGAGGAGGAGAGGAGGAGGAGAGGGAGGAGGGCAAGTGCAGGTGCATCAAAATGGCCACCTGGTGAGAGGGAGAGCGCTGAGAGCGGGGAAGAGGAAATTACTCAGCCTGTGTTATTTCCACATCCACTTCCCCCGCAGGTAGAAAGACTCTCACTGAGAGATGTCTGCTGGGTAACTTTGTCCTGCCCGCGCTGCAACCGCTGCCAAGAACGTACGTCACACAAATCTGAAGAAAACTCCCACGTCGTCCAGCAACGTCTCATCTTTCCCCAGTGGTGGAGGTGGCCTGGGACCGGAGCGGCCATGTTTGTAGTTCTTCATCTGCAGAGGACGTGTCATCTTGTTAGAATTTGTGAGTCGCTGTAGTGGACAAACAGTTCAGGGACCAGACGTGAAGGGAACAGTGCCTGAGAATTCAACACGGAAGTTAGCGCTCAATGCTAACACAACGTACCGTGTATGAAGAGACCTGAGAACGAGACGTGTCCTTTTGTTATTGTCCAAAAAAACCACAAAAAAAAACTAGTCTTGCACCATTTTGTTTTTGGCACAAAAAGCACTTGTTGTTCTGGACGTTGACGTGTGAAGAAGCCATGAGGTGTTGCTGAGAAGCTGAAGTGCTTTGCATTAATCTGGTGCCGTTTCTGTGTCTTAGACAGGGATGCATGACCTGTGCAATATCTACGAGTTTCAGTGCGTCTGGTTTCAATCCTTTATGCAGTGGGGCGGGATTTGTCGTCATTTAAAGCCACAGTCCAGCTTTGATTTGGCCAGTGAGGGTTACTGAAGACTTTACTTTCTACGTGGACAATAAACTTTTTTAAAACTTTAAATAAGCCATCACAACAAAACTGCAGACGCCTTTTTACCTTTTGTTTTGCAAAAATGACGAAACGCCTTCAGTGTTTGTGGATTACAGGGTTTCAGCAGGGGGCGCTATACTGTTGCATTCGATTGGGACTTTAAAATGGGGATGCTGACATTTGACGTTGTCATTTTTTCAATAACTTGTAAAGGGAGATCTATTTATTAATTTGTACTAAATCAGTGAATGTCGCCCCTTATTACTTAGTGTCCCACTTATAAGCTTGAATTTGTCAGAAATTATAAATATGTCAGCTGTGATTGATGCTCCGTGTTGTATGTGACCCTCCATGTTGCCAGGGAAGGAGATTATGCTAAAACAGGGTGCAGTCTGGGAAACAGAGTCTTTTGTTTGACTGCCTGTGATGAGGACCTAAACAAAGACACCCAGTCTTAAAGTCATACAAATGTTATTTCAGGGTAAATGAAACATGATCTTCCTCTTCTGTAACTCTACCTACACTGGAAACATTAGTTTAACTGGGCGGGAAATTATGAGAGACGCGTGAGCCGCCTGGTTTCTGTCTGAACCATCCGTCAAACATACGACAGCCTCGCTCCTCAGATCCTCGCTCAGATCATGAGAAAGACAAAAACCTGCACGGTAAAAAAAGACAGAAACATCAGGAGGATCAACAGGAGGCGAAACTCACCGAGCTCTTTCTACAAACAAATCTCAGCTAATATATCAATAATTCTAAGATGGAAACGACACATGATGTTTTTGTACTGCTCAGATATATTGTTCCGATGTTTTTCCAAGGTGACGGTTAAAATCGTCACAGTGTAACTATACTTGACACGTCTCTGAACTTCCCAACATCTGAAACCTTTGCAGTTCCACAGAAATGTTTTGATGTAGATTCAGAGAAACGTTTCCAACCTACCAGCTCATAAATAATAA